GTGTGGCAGGTGAGGTGGATAGAGAAGCAAAGAATACTTAGAAAAGGTATACACTAAATTGGGAAAAAAAAAGAAAAAGAAAAAAGAGCATTTTTTTAAATTCTAGAACAAAAGTGTTCCCTTTTGCTATTTTATCTGTATAAATGATAGCAACACATGTACACTGGTGTGAGTACGCTGGTAAAGTCACCTGTACATATTGGCACGTCTAGGGTACCTACAGTACCAAACTTAGCCTCTCCTGTGATTAACACACCAGGGACCAGCATACAATTGAAAATTAAACCTTTAAGAGATATTCAGGTCAGGAAATCAATCATTCTTCCCTAGTTTCAACAATAAACTATTTAAGACCAGAATGGTACTATGTGACTTTAGCCCATCTATGTCAAGCTTGCCATGGAAAATAGAAAGATCTATTAGTTCCATCACAGTTGCTTGTTAAATGCCAGAAAGCCTCATTAACTGAGATGGAGAAGCTTGAGTTTTACATCAATGGGAAATACAGCAACTTTGAATGAGTCATCTTTAAGCTGTAATGCATTTTAGGGAAAAAAAAAAGAAAAAAAGCATCAAGTAGGAAAGCAGAGTTTTGTTTCCAACTAACTCTCTTCCTCTGGCAAGCTGTTGCACAAGTTAGCAGAGGTCTCAAGTGGTCCAGAAGCCTGGAACAGGATCATAATCCCAGGGGGGAAAAAAAACCAAAAAGGTTAGTGAACAGTTTGCAGGCAGGATGTGAAAGATGCAGATAAATTACAGCCTCCTACCATACATACATTCGTTTCATGAATCTGGTTTAACTGTGTGGCTCTGGCCCCAGATCTGTCCCACAAATACTTATCTCACAAGATTTTATGCCAAAAGAAACAAAACTCAAAACAGAAGCCACCCTCCGACATCCTTCTTAGCATTTTAGCAGCCTACTCCTTCATGGTCAATACCCAAGAACATGGTGTGTTGCAATCAGTACAGTCTGATCTAAGACCATGTTGCTGCCAAAACAGACGGTGATGCTAAGGAGGGAGTGGGGAAAACTTGACTGTAAAAGGAAGGAGAAGAGGTAGGGCTGTTGCATGTGTAGCACTCATTCACATAATCATAGAAGCAGCCACAGCAGATAAACCAAAATCTACCTAAGCAAATATCCTGCCTCCCACAATGATAAGTGCATATCTAAGGATGAACGCAAGAAATAGGGAAGTATGCACGATATTTTCTGCAAACACTCTCCTAGCCTAAAGCCATTTAAGGCTCAGATTCCCCCTGTTGAAAGTGGTTTTTATGTATTCAGCAACCCTTAAAGGATTTAATTTCTATTAATTTTTCAAGCCCTCACCCCATATTCAGAACTGGACTGAATCATGTTTCATGTGAATAAAAAACCATTTAAGGACTTAATCAAGGAAAACATTCTCAGGAGCAGCTACGTTTTTTCTTAAAAAAACTTCTATATCTGGAGAAAAAAGCCACATAAAAATTAATCTGCATCTTTAGGTCTGAATGCTTTTCCCATAGCTTTAGTCAAGGCTCCGTTTGCTCCCATGATTGTTATTTCTGAAAGCTCCAATCCCTAGGGATTATTCAGCAACTCCAGCTTTATAGCAATGTTGCTGTTACCCGCTAATTTGCCCTAAGGTGGTTCAGAGCCTATTATTTGCCAGAAAGCACAATCTGAATGTTCCTATTGTTCAAAAAGAGCATCGTATATATTAACATCACACTGGTGTATCAATAAACACAAAGCAAATCCTAAGAAGCCTTTATTTTCTCCTCCTGAGAAAGAAATGTCTGTCATCTGATCCTTGCCACTAAAAGGTAAGGATTGATACTCTTCCTAGGCTTCACGAAACAGTTTTAGCTGGAATATTTCTATTCCCATATCCTCCAAGCTTGTCCTTCATATCAAAACATTATCATGCTAGCATGGGCAAAGTATTCCACTTGGGACAGCTGATTCAACATCATAACACTAGATGCCAGAACGCCGAAGCAAACGTGCTTAACTATCTCTGGCTTAGAGAGCAACGACCAAACTTAAAACAATAGCTGAGGATAACTACTACATCAAAACCCCTTTACTTTCTTTTGAGAGTATGGGAGCAGCAAACTGACAATCAGTATGTCATTGCTCTTTCCAAATTTAGTTTACTCGGCTGGGCCTTTTTACAAATCATGAACAGATTAAGTCAGATATGACCTCATTCACATCTCCCTTTTGTGCTAACAGCCACATCCTTATTAGGCAAGGAAAAGGCATGGACGTTCAGCTTAAGAAACTTCCAACATGATACACCCTCCCCAGTCAAACCAGAAACATACAGATATTCTGCGATACACTTGACGTTTCCTTTGGGCCATCTTCTGGTGCATCAGAGGAGGACATTGGATCTGCAGCAGCCTGTATGAAACAAATTCAAAAGAGGACTGGGAATTATAATGAAATGTTTTAATACATCTTTCCCCTTGTGAGTTTGCTCAATTTGAACCTACATACAATATTCAAGCAAGTAAATAATTTAAGCAGTGTCAACAGTTCAAAACGTCTATGGTTTTACAACTGTTTTTCTCCTAGCTGTATGAGAAAGAACATATTAAAAACTATTTCATGCCTATTTTAAAAGATAGTATTTATATCTGACATGGATTTAAAAAAAAAAATCTGATGCCAGAATAAAAAGTACAAATTTATCTCTAAAACTACTCCACCATTTTCTGTCTTGGAAACAAAAATGTGCACTGATTATTATAATAATCAGTGCCATTTATAAGATGGTATATTTGACTGAACTACCAGTCAGCATTAGTCTGTCAGGAGTCTGACAAAGTTAATCAGCACTCACAAGAACACATATATCCATTCAAGAAGAGCCTGCTCAAGTATTTTATTCTGCTGGAAAACGTGTAAGATAATTACACAATATGCACACCCAATCTTATAAAGTTTATGTGTATGTTGACTTTATATACATCAGAAATCAAAAGTATGCAAAGCATCTGCTTAGTTTTGTTCTCTAAAGGATCAGAAGGTAACTGAAAAGATTCCCAGAGACCTAGTTTTAAATATTATCACTAGAAGTATATGAGGCAGGTCTCTGGCTAACAAAACCTTCCTTATCTTTAACTAACAAGCAAGTTTCAAAACCCATGCATAGAATTCAAACAATCCCAGTCATTCAGTCTATGTCATCCAAGCCAGAGAGGCAGAGCTACTGCAGAAAAGAGAGACTTAAAAATCAGAGAAAGCTCAACTATAAACTATCTTTAAACAACTATATTAATTCAGAGTTGAATCAGGATGATTATTGAGAGAATTTGGAACTCTTGAACATGAAGTCAAAAAGTTAGAGACAGGATGCAAATCCATCATCATTTCAAGTCCCTTCCAAATGAAAGGCAGTATTAATGAGTCAGCAAACAGACAGCTAAGCTCTCCTTAAGGATGTCAGCTTTTTAGCTAGAATGACTGGTTTACTTACTTTGTACTTAACCTGGTAAGACTTAAAACAGGACTGTACAAAGCACATCCAATTGTTAAGAGCTTTCAACACCAGTAATTAATTTCTTCTTGCATTCCATTATGCCAAAGAGCAATTTGCAGATAATATATCCTGGGTGTCTTACCTTGGCCCCACTGAAAGTAAGGCAAAATTTACCATACATTTCATAGAGTAAGACCAAAAAGTACAACAGCTTTACAGTGCAAAGTTTAAAACATTCACAGCAACATATCATCCTTTCACTACAAAGCAAAATCTGTTCCTGGACAACTGCAAACTGCAATTACACCGCAAATTGCAATTACATTCACAAATCTAAGCTAACACCAGCTCAGCTTTTGATCACAACATATGGCTTGACTCTACTGCTTGCATATGTAACTCCAGTCACAAAAATATTTTGGAAAAATGTATCCATCTGTAACATATGGAATTAATCCTGTCACTTATGCTGGCTTTGTCATCATAACAACATTACAGCATTTCAGTGGGAAAAGCACTAAGCACCACATGTCTGCAATTCTTCTTTTCTTTTTTTGGTAATTAACTAACAGGACACAGGAACTGACATTCTTGTATCTAAAAAAAAAAAATTTCCTGAGCTTCACCTGTTACACCAGAAAAAGGTTTTGAGACACACGGATATGAAAGGAGAAGAGAAGGAACAGAAAAAGTAGAAAAGCATCTCAGCTTAATTTGGAGAGGTACTTAACCTATGTACAGCGAGATCATTCATATACAATCAATTTGTGTAATTTACTCACAAACCATTTTTTCCTCCTTAAGCTCATAGGTCAGACTATTTTCTACAATTCCTCACTTGCTAGTAAATTAATACAAAAGACCCTTTTTAGCTTTTGCAATTGGAGGGAAAAGGACCCTGAAAAGAACAACCTAAACATTGCAGAACAATAGCACTCAGCTCCAACCCCCCTACACTTTGCAGAAGTTCCCTGAGGATGAGTGGAAGAACCTGGCTGTCTCAGTCTAGACCTTCCCCGCAATTCTACTGAGAAAAAAAACAACTTCAGCTCCAAGCCCTACCTCCGTCTGTTGTTCCCTTTGCATCCCTGCAGCGTAGGCTTATTTTCACCAACCACACAAGAACTGTAGGAAGTAAAAGGAATGGAAGAGCATTAAAAATTAATGGCATAACCCAGAATATTTGTTTAAGAAAAAAAACGTTATGTCTAAAATCTCTTATAAAAGTCGAAGTAATAAAAGCAGCAAACTGAAGATGCATAAATGTCACCTTTTCAACTCTGCTGCTGTTAAAAAAAAACACAACCCCGAAACCACAGAACAAACCAAAAAAAAAACCCCACAAAACATCAGTATCATAAAACTAGCCTGTTTGAGCTGTCTCTAAATCCAGAGAATAGTCCTGTTCTCACACATTAAGAATACCTTGATAAACAAGGCTGGATTTCATGGGAACTTGGAAGTTGTCTTTTTTTCTGTCTCAGATTCTGCAAAAATGCCTTTTTCCTACAGATCACTGACAAGTAATTGAAGACACAGGATGGCTGTCAAAAAGATTTCAGCAATAGCAAATACCTTGCTCAACTAGATCAGAACTGCAAACAGACCAAGACGTTCAGTAACAAAGTTTATTCAAAAACATGTAAGAATTCTACACAGGCAATGTAAGACACAGTTTCCCAAGTACTCCACTGTTTTTGCCACAATGCATAATATAAATTTAAAACCATGACCATGCCTTCTCCCTTTCCAAGGAGCCAAGTGAAGGAAACTTGGATGTCCGAGTAAGCTGAAACGGCAGGTGAAGCTAAACTCTCTTTTCTGTTTCAGCATTTCCATGTGTACACGTGGTGTGGAGAGCCCCAAACAAGCTCAGCAGAAGGAAACCCCCACCTCGAGCCCCACAACCTGAAGAGGGACACGCCACCCCACTGACACCTCACACCGGACAGCCTGGCCAGTTGTTGTGGGCTTAAGTGAACCCAGCACTTGTTTTTATGCTGTCCTGTCTCTGATAGACTGGTTTAACTATTTGTAGACCTGTACAGTCAACCAGACTGGAGAGCAGATTCAGGTTAAAAAACCAACCTTTCTTCTCCCCACCCCACCAAGGCTTTTTAAGCTCCGATGACCAAACAGCTGCAGGAACAACTGCAGCAGCAAAACTGAAGGGACAGTATGAAGCAGAGATGCTGAAACCAACACTGCTCTCCGAGAAAATATTTGTCCAACTACAACATCAGTCGGGGCATACCAATACTCTGATGCTCAGCTCTGGGCTTGGTTCTCAACCTGTTTACGTGCAAAATACCAGTGTTTCTGCCAGTGAATCAGCTGACCCAAAATACAAGCTGAAGTTCTAAGCTTGGTTGAAGCCTGCTGGGGTTTGAAAACATGTCTCTTATCTATGGAAGTGCTCTTAAAAATAGTAAACTGAAAGTTTCAGTTAAAGAACAGACTTCTATACAGAAGCACCAAGTGACTTTTTTTTCCCACCAGGTGACATTTTAGAAAACCTCATCCCATTCTCACCACTGGGTAAATGATGTGTCTGATATTGGAAAGAGAGACAGAGGTATCTTCTCTGAAGTTTACTCATGCTAACTAGCACTGCTTTTTATCTGACTTGTACAACTTTTGGAGAAAGCAAAGCTGTTTTGTTCAGCGTGGTTCCCAGCTCCACCATAGCAGGGTTACAGCCTCTGCAGGGAACCCACGGCACAATACCACGAGGGTCAGATGACAGACTTGGGCAGCCACATTAACAGGCAAGTCTGCCACCGCTTTCTTCTAGGAGATGTTATTGTCAGGTGCTTAGATCCATTCAAGATCCACTGGAGGTGAAATTTTCCATGCAGAAGACCTATTTCTGGATTATTTTGTCCCCTTAGAATATGCCCAGGAATTCAGGTTATTCAGCCAACGTTAAAAAAGATTCTTACAACTGGTTGTCAACGGCAAACTGAAACTCAGCTGAACAACTTCCGTGAAAACCTGAGTGTGTCCTTGCTTAGTGTGCATGCACAAAACATGTCAATGCCAGAGTACAGACAATGCTGGCTGCTCAGTTAGCCAGTGTCCTCATCAACAACATAGGAGAAAGTACATGTATTCTGGAACTAGTCAAATACTAAGGATGCCAGGCTGACCTAGCTCATCCACGTGGAAAAGATACCATCCCTGTACAGCTATGCGTTCACAGAAGATATCCACATCCCACAATACTTGCAATACTAATCCTGAAACCTCTGAGAGGGGACTAAATATAACTTGCTGTTATATAGGTAAGGAATTGAAGCATATGAGCCTGTACACGCTTCCTCCCACTGCGTCCAACAGCAAGAAAAATGGTGCCGATTCAGATGAAATCCTGGCAAGCATCTAGGCACCTTAAATCCAAGCATTTCCAAATTTCTTAGAGCTTGATTTTTCAACCTTGCAGTTTCTTTTTGTTTTTATAACAAAGTTCAACTTCCTAAAGAAATGAGACTAGGTAATAAGGCAGAGCTTATTTGTCTGTGCTTGCTAACCCATAGGTGAATTTTAAACAAACTTGGCAGGGAGGTAAGGCTCACAGTCATTCATAGGCGCAGTGCACAGCACTGCTCCTCCAGGAGAAAAAAAAAAATTACTGAAGATTACAGGGGGTGGTGCATGTGCATGTGAAAAAAAGGAGGTCAGTAGAACCTGCCAGGGAACAGAAGGAAATTCAACCCCAAGTTGTAAAGCCACAGGCAAAAGAAGCTGTTCAGGCAATTATTTATTGTGTTCCATAATATGTATACCACAACATCTCATAACCTCGAGTTCTTCTACTTAGCATGGGATTTGGCACGAACATGCAAAACCAATGAAATCCCCTCTCCTCCAGCTACTTCAAAGGCCTGTAAGAAGCTCTCATGAGATAAATCACATACTGAAAATCTCAGATATGACAGTGCATTTCTTTCAGCCAAACCAGGAGATGCAGCTTCTAGGCACTCAAAGATCAAAGATTAGAAATTATTTCTGTTCTCTTATCTGCCAGGAGACTGTCTTCATCTGGGATTCATTCCTCCTGCTAAGAGTGCCACCAAGAAAATTCCTGGAGCAAGAAGAAACAAGGAGTCTGACCTGGCTCCTTATGATCCAGCAAATCTGGGTTTTGCCTCTGGAATTTTCTTGAAAGGACTCCTTGATGACTGAATCCCCGATTCGGTCCCCAATTCAATCACTGGCAAGTGGAATTCTTGTGCTTGTTTCATCTTTGCTAGTCCTAAGGGGACGGCCATTCACCAAGTGATAAAAATTGTTCTTTATGTATAAATGTATGAATAAATGAAGCCCTTTCCCAACAATTAAGATACGTAGGCAACCAACAGAAATTTTTGAGACCACCCAAGAAACTAGAAGACTAAAATTTAGCCATTACTCATCTTACTGGTAGGCACCTATTTCCTTTCAAGGTTTTCTTGTCCTGACAGCACACGCAGGGCAACCATTCGTGCTGACAACAGCACTGTGGAAAAGGGGTTATATTTTTCCCCTATACTTTGGAGATTATTCTCTTCCTCCCAACACAACAAGTTCAGAAAGGAGCATAGAGGTAAGTGCAACATCTAACAATGCTTATCCTGCAGAGAGGCTGACACAAGCAGAGTGAGAAAGACCTCTCTGCCATGCTATTTCACAACAGTCCTCCAGCTTTCCTAATGTAAAGCAGCTTCAGCAGAGCCTCCTCTTTGCGTGATACCTGCTCGTGAACTACTATCTCTTTTTTCATATTGGGTAGTCTTAGATGACCAAAGTCTTTTGGTTCTGGCTGCATTTTTAGGCATCTGAGACTCTCTCAGCACACAGTCTCAAGGAGACAAGAGGTACATTCACAAGTCAGGGGTTCTAGCAAGGAAAGTTACAGACTCTACAATATGAGCCACCATTAAACAAATGCCCTTTCCCATTTTATTTCAGCTGGGTGGATCAGGGAGAAAATTCAAGCACAACACAAAGTATGGACAAGCAGTTCATTAAGATATCCTCCTACAGTAGAACTGAACTTCTTCCTTTATTGTCATGTCTAAATTTGCTTCCTTCAGACAGTAATTCAACTGAATCAATAAAAAAGCTTTTTAAAAAACGCTCATGCTCCTACCTATAAAACAACCTAGTCTGCTACTCTTTAAAAAGATTTTTATTGAATGTCTTCCTTCTGAGCTATACAGAAATTCAGAGGCAGCATTTGCTTTCCTCAATGTGTTGACATTGCAAAAGGGAAATAAAGTTCTTTGTAGTCTTATAATTGCTTTGTGTTTTCTATGCACTGCACACACATCAGAATAACTAATAAGAAATTAGGAGCCACAAAACTACCATAACTTGTTTCACCTTTTACTGAAAGGGAAAGTCAACAGGTTTTATGTTTGACACTCCCCCCCCCCCTCAATCTGAATGCATGTATTACTGCTTTCAGTAGTTACAATAACATAGACTCATAGAATGGGTTGGGTTGGAAGGGACTTTGAAGATCATCTAGTTCCAACCTCCCTGCCATGGGCAGGGACACCTTCCACTAGTCCAGGCTACTCAAAGCCCCGTCCTGCCTGGCCTTGAACACTTCCAGGAATGGGGCATCTACCTCTCCAGGCAGCCTGTGCCAGTGTTTCATCACCCTCATTGTGAAAAATTTCTTCCTTAGATCTAGTCTGAATCTGCCCTCTTTTAGTTTAAAATCATCGCCCCTTGTCCTGTCACAACAGGCCCTGCTCAAAAGTCTGTTCCCATCTTTCTTACAAGCCCCCTTTAAGTACTGGAAGGCTGCAATAAGGTCTTCCCAAAGCCTTCTCCTCTCCAGGCTGAACAACCCCAACTCTTTCAGCTTGTCCTCATAGGAGATGTGTTCCATCCCTCTGATCATTTTGGTGGCCCTCCTCTGGACCCACTCCAACAGGTCCATGTCTTTGCTGTGCTGAGGGCTCCAGAGTTGGATGAAGGACTCCAGGTGGGGTCTCACCAGAGCAGAGGGGCAGAATCCCCTTCCTTGACCTTCTTTTGACGCAGCCCAGGAGACATTTGGCCTTCTGGGCTGCAAGCACAAATTGCTGCTTCTT